CGCACGCATATGCGCCCGGTGTGAGTTTTAAGCCACCGGGTCCAGGACGCGAACCGCGGTCGACTACATGGGAGTCCAGCGACATAGCCATTACACTAACTGCTGGTTCCAAATCTACATTCTTCATGTCTGTACTAAACCAGCAGTTCCTTCAGCAGAGTTCAGGAGACCTTCCAACTAAGTAAGAGTAAGCTCAGGAGTTCCCTAACTCACTCTCCCCTTTCCCATACTCCACAACTCCAAACAGAATTTTACACTAGGAATGCCTTCTTTTTCTTTTCTTTTTTTAAGTAGTTATTTTTATTTAACTTTATTTATTTTAATTTGAATGGAGAGGGATAGAGTGAGAAAGTGAGAAAGCAAGCCGCTAGGTCTGGGACTCAAGCTGCAGTCGGCCCTGTGGGATTCCAGTGTCCTAAACTGCTGGCCCTGCCTTTTTCTTTTTTCTTCTTCTTTTTTTTAGATTTTTGCCATAAGTCATGTTCACTTGACAGAGACACAGAGGGAAAGTAAGAAATCTCTCCCGGGGTGGATGGCCACACCAAAGTCCCATCTTCATTGTCTCCTTGGGACTGTGTGCATGCATACACACACATGTGCCTGGCACGATTCACAGGCTGTCAAGGTCAGGACTCGAACCGCGGTCAGCCTTGTGGGAGTCAAGCTCTTTAACCACCCCGCCGTACCATCTGCTGGCCCCAGAATGCCTTTCCTTTATGTTAGAGATAACAAGCCCTCGCATGATGATAATCATTCGTTCATTCCAGCATTGTTTATCGAATGCTTACTGTGTACGGAAGCGATGTATAAATTTATAATGAATCTAATCGTCATAGCAGCCTCTGAGGCAGCTGCCACTGTCATCCCGTTCTTATTGATGTGGTAACTAAGACTTAAAGGTTAGGTCATTGGCCCGCCCACTGTCAGAGTTAGTGAGGCAGAACCAGGACCTGATGCCTGGGTTCCCACCTCGCAGCAGCCTGCACTCTCCGTTGGGAGACTCCACCTTCCCGTGTCCCCTCCCTCTGCCTTGAGGCCCAGGACATTGCCAACTGTCTAGAAGCACCTACTAAGTGCCAGCAGGAAACCCGAGCCCCTGCCGTCGTGACCGCCAAGAGCATGCAGGTGCTGCTATATCAGGATAGAGACCGCACACACCTTGTTCTGTGCAGCGCAGCCTGCAGCCCCCTCAGTACCCCTGATTCCGTAGCTTTCCCTGTACAATTGGTGTCCCACCGACCACCAGTGGACCATGCACGTGGCTCAGGAGCCGTTTGCCTGTGTCTCCCTGCAGGGCTGTGGTGGAGGCTGTGCATCGACTTGACCTCATCCTTTGCAACAAAACCGCTTATCAGGAAGTGTTCAAACCAGAGAACATTAGCCTGAGGAACAAGTAAGCCGGAGACCAAACCACAGATCCTTACCGTTTCCCTGCCTGGGTCCGCCCGAAACTGTCCGATCCAAACGCGTGTTCTCTCTGACTTCCTGACCTCGTGCCGCCTTGATGGGCTGCAGTCTCTGGGGTCCCTCAGTCCACCTCCTGCTTCTGCATCTGACAGATAGGAGCCGTAGGATGGCTTCTGAGGCGCGGGAGGCGGGGGTATGCATCATGTGGAAGCGGTAAAAGGAGAGAAAAGGAGGGAAGGTTTCGGGGCAGGAGTAGATTATTAAAATTCTTACTGCTTCTTGCCTCTATCTCTTGGGACTCCACTGCCCTCCTAGACGACTGTGCCCTGAGAAGTGTCGAGCCTGGGTGTCTAGTGGGAGGCCCAGCGATTTGGGGGTCGAGCCTGGGTGTCTAGAGGGAGGCCCAGCGATTTGGGGGTGGGTGTGGGGACGTGCCTCCTTGTCCCCCGTCCGTGTGTTTCCCCGCGAGGGATGGGCATCCTCCCATGTGCTTCCCTCCACCCTCCCAGGTTGCGTGAGCTCTGCGTCAAGCTTATGTTCCTGCACCCAGTGGACTACGGGAGGAAGGCTGAGGAACTGCTGTGGAGAAAGGTGTACTACGAAGTGATCCAGCTCATCAAGACGAACAAAAAGGTAAGGGAGGTCCGTGAACTTGGGAAAGGAGTGTGTCTGAAGAGGGGAAGCTGAGGAGGGGGAGACAGCGAGGAGAGTGGGCCCTCCGGGTTGGAGGTAGGGAGCCAAGGAGGGGCTGGCAGGGAGGAGAGAGGGAGTCAGGGAATCGGAATGAGGGAGCTGGGCCTGGTCTCAGAGGGAGACAGAGTGGTAGATTCGTGGCTGTGGGCATAACGCACGAGTGAGAGATGTGGGAGTTCCAGCGCCAAGGGGGTAAGGTAATTTCATCAGTGAGCTTTTTTTGGATGGGCCGGGGGGCGTGGTCCTCGAGCTTCCTGCTTAGCCAGTCCCTTCCCTGTCCGGGTCTCCAGCACATCCACAGCCGGAGCACCTTGGAATGTGCCTACAGGACACACCTGGTCGCCGGTATTGGCTTCTACCAGCACCTCCTTCTCTACATCCAGTCCCACTACCAGCTCGAACTGCAATGCTGCATCGACTGGACCCACGTCACCGACCCCCTCATAGGTCAGTGACACTGCGGGGGGCTCACGGAGCAGGTCCCAGCTGTAGCTTTACCTCCTTTTCCAGTTGGTAGTTTTCTCTTCAGTCCGCTTTTCGAGCTCCTTCCCTCACCTCTTCCTGCTCTCCCTGTCTCTGTCTCCCCCTGTCTCTCTCTCCCTGTCTCTCTCCCCGTCGCTCTCTCCCTCTCTCTCTCTTTCTCCTGTCTCTCTCTTTCTCCTGTCTCTCTCTCTCCCTGTCTCTCTCTCCCTCTCTTTCTCTTTCTCCCTCTCTCTCTCTCCCCCTCTTCCTCCCTCTTGTTTGTGTCCTGGCACCAGATGGTATCATTCTCCAGTCAGAAGCAGAGCTTCTGTGTTCTATGCATTTTAGAACACTGTTTAAAAATGAAACAGTGTTATTCTGAGAAAGTATCTGTAGACTGTACCTCATAACCAGAGGGGTCCATAGTCCCCAAAAACATTACTTCAAAGGATTAGTTTCCCGAACCAGTTTAGTTCTTCTCTTCGTTGATATTTTCTCTGCTCAGCCAACCTAGGAGTATCTGTAGAAAACATTAGGAGGGGGGTGGGGGTGGGAGCTGGCAGGTGGCACGGGGGTTAAAGGTGCTGGATTCCCACATGGTCGACTGTTGTTCGAGTCTCGGACCTGATGGCTTGCCTTCTCACTTTCCCTTTCTCTCTGTCTCTCTCTGGTCAAATTAAAAAATAATAACAAGTGGAGTTAAATAAATAATGATTTTTTTATAAAAAGAAAGAAAGAACAAGAAAAGAAAATAAAACATGAGGACAGGGACCAACCGATGGTGTAGTGGTTACATCACTGGACTCCCATGTGGCCAGCCGCAGTTTGAGTCCCGGACCTGGTGGCTTGAGACTTCACTCCGGCACGTTTGCATGCATGTCCAAGATCCCAGGAGGAGAGTGGAGGAGAAGGGACTGTGCTGTGGGCATCACCCCTGGAGGGGGGATGATTTCTCACTTTCCCTCTCACTGTCTCTCTCCCTCTCTCTGGTGAATGCCTGTGCCCTAAGGCAAAAATGTGTACATGAAAAAGAGAGAACGTCGGGACAGGGACCAGCAGGTGGTCTGGTATGATGGACTCCCACGTGGCCCACCACAGTATGAGTCCCAGACTTGGTGGCATGGAAATCGTGCCGGGTGTGTGGGGGTACATGCCCAGAATTCCGGGAGAAGAATAGACGAAAAGGGATTGTGATGTGGCCATCTCCCCTGGGGGAGTGATTTCTCGCTTGGCCTCTCACTGTCGGTGTCTCTGGCGAGTACATGCACCCTATGGCAAAAAACAGAGAAAGAGAAAGGAAGAGAGGGAGGAAGGGAGGGAAGAAAGGAAGAAAAGGGGAGGGGACATTAGGACAGGCTTTTCAGGCCGGGGATGGCATACCTGGGAGAAAGGATGTAAGGCAGAGGGGATTCAGGGACTAGTCTGCCCGCCTGCCCTTTCTTTTTAATTGTGCACGCGTGCACACGTGCAGGTGCACGCACATGCGAGAGAGACAGCTCCTCCAAAGGCGTGTGGCCACCGTGCAGTCCTGTCACCTCCATCTCTCCGCCCCATCAGGAGTTTGGGTGTGCACACTCACCTCTGCTGTGTTTTTCAAGCTGCCACGATCAGGATCAAATCCTGGCCAGCCCGTCGAGCTCCAGTTCCCTGCACACAGTGCCTGACCTCTGTGCTTTGGGGGCTGGTCCCCGACTGCCTTTTGAGTCCTGGCTCTGTCACTTACCAGTTTAGTGCCTTTGACTTCTCGCTGTAAGGTGGGAGTAATAAGAGAAACACCTCGCGGGGCTGTTGTAATTCTGTGCAGCTCTTAGATCCGCGCCTGGCACATGGGAAAACTGCCTCCCAGAGAGCTCGGGCTCACTGACCTCAGGTGACAAGTCTGCTTGGGTGAAGGAGGGACAAGAGCCCAGGCATGTCTGGCTTTGGCTGTCAGCCGTGCTCAGGCCAGGCAGGCCCACTTGCCCTTGGGCAGACTTTTTAGCAGGGCCTCCCCTCACCAGGGCCTCCTGCACCAGGCAGAAGCCAGGACCACTTGGCTTGGCCCCATTCACTTCCTGCTCTTCCTGGGCAAGGTAGTCTCCCATTTCTACCAAGCCTTTACCTTTATGCAGGTGTCTTCTACCACGGCCACTCGTGGCCTTCCTGACACTGGAGCTTCACCTTTTCTTCCTTTGTGGAAGCCTTTTTCTTTTTTTTAAAGAGATGTGCATTCACCAGAGAGAGACGGAGACAGTGAGAGGGAAAGAAAGAAATCACCTCTGGGGGAATGGCTGTGCCGCAATCCCTTCTCTTTCAATCTCCTCCTGGGATCTTGGACACGCATGTTCACGCACCTGGCATGTTTCGAGCTACCAGGTCTAGACTTGATCCATGGTCAGCCGTGTGGGAGTCCTGCAACGTAACCGCCATCCGCTGGCCTCTGTGGAAGCCTTCTAATGAGGACCTGTCAGATGACCTTCCCCACGGCGCTGTCCTCGATTCAGTGGCTCCTCTTCCAGTTCCTGTTCTGTGAATCCACCCCACTGTCCCTACCTGTGTTCCCCTGTGAGCCTCTGTGTCCCTGCCTGTGTCCTGGACAAGTGTTTTCCCTGCCCTGGAAGATCCGTGTCCCAAGGCTGGCCCTGGGTCCTCCGTCTCCTTTCTCCATACAGCAGACATATTCTCAGTAGGTGGGAGCAGGGGGTGGGCTTATAAGTCTCCTTTTCTCCCTTAGGGTGCAAGAAGCCAGTATCTGCGTCAGGGAAGGAGATGGACTGGGCACAGATGGCATGCCACCGATGTCTGGTGTACCTGGGGGACCTGTGTGAGTACGCACCCTTCGTGTCCTCTGCTGGGGGCTGTAGGGCAGGCCCAAGCTGCCGCGTCGTTGGCACGCCCCTTCCGATCCCAGAGCGGGGGGCAGTTCAGCTCCAATCACTGTCACTGCCATCTGCTGACAGTGGTCACTTCTTCCATGAGCCAGAGGGTCCGTGAATATGAGGGAAGGGAATTGTCGTTGAGATTTGAGGGAGTTAGGGGATAGCTCTCTCTCTGCTGTGGTTGGGGAAGATTTTAATCTTATGTTTTTCTCCCGAGTGTCTCTTTTACCTGTATGGACTCCTACAAGTAGGAACTTCAGCCGGACAGGAATTACAGTTAGACCTCAGGGATGTTTACCTGTCTGGTACATGTTGCTCAAGGTGGAAACTTATCGTCCTGCTGTAAGGCTCTCTGGGTCTCTGTCCGGAGAGACAGCAGTCCCTCATTAGCTGCTGCTGTGTGTCTGGGGGGTGCATTGTCATTTATTGACCTGAGGCTCCTCCTCTTGTCTTGGCCCACTTCTAGACTCCCCCCGGGCAATGTGTGCAGAGTCAGCTGTTTCGTCGAGGACAGAGCGAGTGTCATTAGTAACAGCTCTCTAGAGTCAAGTAGTGACATTCCTGAGCCGAACGGCAGAGGTCTCTGCAGGCAGTTACATATGTCGCGTTCCCCTTCATGGGGGGAGATGGTACGGAGCAGCTGTTCGCTGTAAACATCCACAGTCTCACAGTGCGAACCTACTAGCAAGCAAGAGATGAAGTCTCCCCAGAGGCCTGCAGATTTAGGGCCCTCTCAGAGACCCCAGTCACCTGCCTCCTAGCACAGGCCCCTCCTCCCAGGCTCTTGTTCCAGCTCCTCAGAGTGGTCTTCCAGGGGGCAGAGGGTTTTCTGAAACACGGACTCATTGCCTTTCCTCCCCTCCTTTCTCTCTTCTACAGCGCGGTATCAGAATGAACTGGCTGGTGTAGACACCGAGCTGCTGGCCGAGAGGTTCTACTACCAGGCCCTGTCAGTGGCTCCCCAGTTTGGTAAGGGGCCCTCTCCTTAGCTCTCTCCTGTTGGCTCTGGTTGTATTCACTCCCTGAACACACACGTAGAAGACAGTGAGAGGGGAAGAGAAATGGGAAAATCTTGAACTAAGGAGGAGGGAGGCAAAAGAGAGGGAAGAGAAGGTAGTATTCCTGTCCCTGAGGATCCGTAGGAAGAGGAGACCGTACGACAGCTGCCCCACAGGAAATGCAGTGGGGTTAAGAGTTAGACTGCCTCGGGGAGGGATGGGGACCTGCGTGCACTAAGGAGAGTTCAGAGCGGGGACTCTGAGCTGGGGTGGAGGAGAGGGCTCCGTGGTGTTCCACCAGCCTTGGAAGAACCACAGCTTGAGCCTTCCCATCAACACAGGAAACCCTTGGCAAACCAGGCAGGTGCAGGCTGGCAGTAGCAAGATGAGGTCAGTGACCTCTTGGAGGGACAAGATTAAGCTGCCAGGCACCTGAGACACCGGTGTCGCCTGCAGACCCAGCTGTTCACCTGAGTTCTCTGATACTGTGTGTAGGTTGGGCCTGGCAGCTTTGAGTGTGCGGTGACCTCAGACAGCTCGATTCTCTTTCTTTCCAGGA